TATTATATTATATATATATTATATATATATATATATATATATATATATATATATATATATATATATATATATATATATATATATATATATATATATATATATATATATATATATATATATATATATATATATATATATATATGCGGTAGTGTAATCGTTTGGTTCGTGCTGATACTGCTAAGTCTAGATATTTAGATACGTAAGTAGTTACGTATGAGCGGACGTGATTTCCTTTGAAAACCGTCTGTAATTTCGGTCGTTAATAGCACTCTGTAATAGCATCACTTTAACAGCTGCATGGATTTCTGTATATTTATCGCGCTACATGGATTTTCTTTCGTGTTCGACTCGTAAGAAGTTTTCAAAAAGGCGTGTTTTTAATTTTTGAAACCGATATTCTTGAGTGTTGAATAAACGAGAGAAAATATGGATGGACTCGCCTATGATAAAGTACGGCAGCATTTACTACACGCATCAACAAATCACAATACAGAATTAGCCCCGTTGATTCGTTCGACAGCTTATCTGTATGTATATTGGATTAGGAAATGATTTAGGTATGATCTTCTGGTGGGTGCGAGATTCAGAAAATAATCTCAATTAAGTCTGACACACTTGGTGAAACCTCTAATATTGACGGAAAGTTGACAAAAAGCGTCACAGACGTCATTTACGTATCAAGCAGAAATTAACAAATTAAAATTGACCAACACTCGTGCAGCGTGCTGTCGCTCGCTTGGCAGAAAAAATGAGCATTCAACGATATGTCTTGTGCTTTGTGAACATCAAGCCTTAACTGGTAATGTACACATTGATAAAACTCCGTGTGATTCCAAGCCTCTTGTGGTAGGTGTATCGGTGATAGCGTTAATCGTGACAGCAGCTGTACTGCGAGCCGGAGTCCAAGGATTCGGCTATAACATTGTATCTCATTTTTCTACCCTGATTCATTTTGTGGTGCATCAATCCCATTTACGCAATATTTACTATGGTGCATAGTACCAAGAACCGGGGTACACCGGACCCCCTTTTTCAGCAATACATGGAACCTTTAATATTTACTCAAATCGGGATTTCTCGACGGTTTTGAGCTTATCACATCATCCCGAAATAGATGAGCTGGTTGGAATTTCATTATCGGCTTTATTTCAAAATTGACTTTTTGAAATTCGCCAAATGCCAAAATGTGCACCTATTGACTCATATGAAGATGTTCCAGTACCCGAAACGTCACGTCCTCATCGGTTTTGGACTCCTCATGTTTACTTGAGCCTGGACATCAGTCATCAGAATTTTCTAACGGTCATTTTTTTAATTAGTAAACACATATTTTACATATACATAAACATACAAACACATACACACATAGGCATTCATACATGCACATACACACATAGGCATTCACACATACTACTACTACACCTTGCTGTCTCTTCTGTCTTGCATTGTGCTTTGAGCACTTACTATATGCCCCTTTGAAATTAGGTTGCTTAAATAGAGGTGGTTGCATCTCAGGACGATGCCCTCGACAATCAACTCTATCGTTCTTGTCATATTTGTACTTTGTTAAATCAACCTTGTACTTCTCGCAGTTGGCCTCACTATCCTTACTCGTACGTGTGAACCTTCCGTCTATCCCTCGTTGTACAACCAGCTGTCTAATCACACGTGGTGCTTCTGATTTAACCTCTGACTCACTCTCTTTCTCACTCACAACTGGGGGCTCATACTGCTTCTCATCACTCAGCTTGCTATATACGAAGCGTCCAACTTTACCTCGACCAACGCCTCTCTTACTCAAGAGCCTAGAGGAGCTCTGATTAGATCTAGTTTTAATCTTAGGCATATTCTAATAATGATACACCCTTACTATAACACAGGTTAAATTGTAGGAATATTGCTCGATTGCACGCTTTTTCAATTGTAATATTTGTGTTTGTATATTTATTTGTCACGTTTTTGTGCGGGTGTGAGCGAGATTGTCCCAAAGTTGCAAATTATACTGGGCCCAGGACCTGCACCCACAAATATGCATTTCCGCCGTTTGTTTTTTTTATTGCATTTTTGGACAGTTCACTGAATTTGGAGTGCACTGTTTAAATTTTGGAACTTTCTGACGGACGGATCAAAAGTTATTAGCAGTACAAAATCGACCGGTGTACGTACCCCGGTTCTTGGTACTTTGCACCATATTTTATCTGGAAACTGTGAACTAAAAAATCATAAAATCATAAATAGACATAATGATGTGATGACAGCACAAGTGACGACAAGGCTATTTTAGGGTAATTAATTATATTCCTTTTTTATATATATATAAAAATGCTTGTCAAGTTGTATTTTTAGTAAAATATTGACGCATGATTTAATGATTGTTGTAAAAATCACGGCCCTCTGGGCCTGGCCTCTGCCCTTGGCGGCTCGGCTCGGCCCCTCTGGATTTAGTATTATGGTCTCGCGCTCTCTATGTATTTAGTAGAGAGTCGCTACTCAACAAGTCTCGAGACAAGAGTAAGACAGCAGAAGAGTGAGAGACGACACGACACCGGACACTCTGACAGAGTTGAACGAATTGTGGATTGTTGAAGTTCTCGGATACCCGGACCAGTTCCTGATTGGCGCAGTCACTTCTGTTGGCATGTGATAGTTATTTACATTCTACCACGCGAAAATTGACTATAAAAGCAATATATATTTATGTATGGTTGTATGTATGTATGTAAGAATTTATAAATTAAAAGTATGCAAGATGTGGTGATACCTAACCTCAATACGTTTTACAATAACACGTATGCACATCGGATATATACGTTTGTGTATGGCTGTCCCTATGAGTGCATGCTCGGAGCTCGGAGGTGCAAATTTTCATTATATATTTCGCAAGATGTCTGATTTATTTACAAAATAGGTCTATGTGTTTCTAATCTTTTCTCGAATAAACGTACTAAAGCTTTAATTTTCAAATAAATTTACGTCCACGTTCAACATTTTAATCGACCCCTTTTTAACGGATTGAGTTTATTTATTATTTAGAAATTTCTAACCTGCAGGCTCTTTCAGTCTATAATATGAGTACATTTTACCTGGTGGCCTTTCATTCCTCAGCTATCCACTATCTACACCACCAAATATGCTACGAATTCTTTCTTCTCGAACACCCGCGTTCTCATCCAGTCTGCGTCAAGGCATGCTGGTTCGGTCACTATGCGCCTCAGCGGCACAACAGAAACCTACAGGCGAAAGCTCAATACAAATGCGAGACAGTATCGAATTGGTGTACGAGCCCAAGGTTGACGGTCAAGCAGCGGTACATTTCCTCGTGGATTATCATTATTATTCATGTATATATTACCGAGGTAGTTCAATATTGTGATCTTTAATGATATGTGCAGTACCTGCCCTGATGGTGCATGAGTGCGCCATGTTAGGATGATTCTGCTTTTGCCAAGAGTTAGTGCCACGAACTACCTGCGGAAAGAAGTATATTGTTTTTACGATGTAACCAATTCGGACAACAGAATGTAGATGATATGTATGAAAATACAAATATGTGCAACATTGCACATGTGCCATAGCATGTATTCATATCTGCTTGAACATGTAACCTTTTTCCCAACCCAGGGAGTTGATCGTATCCTAGTGTGTGAATACGCATTTTATCATTTTACCCTTTATATTACCTTATGTATATGTATAATTCTGCAGATTGACATACGTGTTTACTCATATGTATGCAGGTCTGACTAAATCAGCCTATGTTATGATTGGTGTGCCCATTATAAAAGGATGTGTATTGTTATATAGTATGTACATTCTGAAGTGCGATTGAAATTACACGGAAATTGAAAATATGTATTGTTATAAGTATTAAATACCTTCTCCCTTTCAAGATTGTACATAGGGGCGACTGTATATCATACACGCTTGCTCACTAGATAAGTACTTGATATAGTTATTCATCGATACCTAAATTGGATACTTCGAGGAATATATTAGTACTAGAAATCTTATTAACACCACTTAATCCAACGTCAAACCGCCTCTACGCATATATATATATATATATATATATCTTATATCTTATATCTACGTAAACATAATATCATACATCGTTTGCATGCGTATACATAAATAGATTTGTGTATATATTTAGATGATACATGTGTATGTGGGTGTATGATTTGGCGCTAATTGCGAATATTGGCCATACGTAAAATTAATGGTTACCAGAACTACAATAACCTGTGTACCAATTCTCGTTGGTATAAATGCAGTATGTTTTGGAGTTGGACATACTAGAGTCTGTGCCTAATTGTTCTGTTCACATTCGGGAACATCGAGTAATCTGGCAAGATTCTGATACTTATTCTGTATTTAGATTGTTATGATATTTGTCGTCGTTTGCTCTGTGACTGGAGTGATCTATATCAGATGATTTGTACCCTATCGATAGCGGTCTGTGCACTGTTCTGAAAGTCCTGCAATACACCGAGTGCTACTGATAACCCTATTAAACCTTATCATCAATTGTATTCTTGTTCGCAAAACAGCACGCAGCAGAGGACCTGAATGCAACGCAAGTCATCGGCCGAATAGATCTAACTCAAAATATAGTCGACAAAGCTGATCGGTTTTCTATCCAGGTTCGTAATCTTTTAATGCCGGCTGTCGTTGCTAATCTGTCTTCATTTCCGGGTTGCAAAACTCTACATCGAACCACTCTACACGTGTAGTATGCGGAATGAGTTAACAGCGACATCACTTATTGCCTTGTATCCGTGTGTATACAACGGATAGCATGTATAGGATGAAAACCTCCGCACCGATTGATTGTGAAAAAAAAATCTACACTGGATGGGACATGCGAGCGGGTCTCTGCTGATACTAAACTGCCCGTGAGAAACGCAGCGACAACACATCTATCGCGCACGAACCCTCTCCGTGAAACCCGTTTCTGATGATCTGTCGGATTTTATCTAATCTTTTTATTTTTCTATATCGTATACAACAGATTTCCGAAACAACACACATCAAAGGTAGCGCTCTACAGGAGTGTGTTTACTTAAACCACTCATGTGCCCCCACCTGCAAGGTCCACTTCCATAACGACACACTGGACTTCGTAACCCTACAGCCAATTAAAAAGGGAGAGGCGCTGACATTCAACTATGTCACAAGTGAGTGGGATATGGCCACCCCATTCGACTGTACCTGTGGTGCTCCAGGATGTGTAGGACACGTGGCTGGTACGTACGACAAACGTTCGACATTCTATTGAACAACTCATCTGTTTGTGCTGTGAAATCCCCCATTGCTATGCATGACTCGTATAAGTGGAAGTACTGCACGTTTGTGTGACAACTTGCACATCATCAAATACACACTGGTGGGATTCAATATGGCATGTCCACTTCCAATCTTACGAGCTCAACCACCAATTTTGGCAAGCTTCGGTAGTTTGAGATATATAAATGAAGTATATATATATATATATGTCTCTGTGTGTGTTTGTGTGTGAGTTTGAATGTATATATATAAATTTTGAGTTTATATATATATATATATATGCGTGTGGTGGGGGGGTGGGTGGGTGGGTGTATAAAAGTACATATATATAGGAGTAGTGGACTCATTCTTCGCTTATTAGCAGCGAATCCAACCTGCTACCATCGACGAGCAAGTCTGACGCAATACACCATTCCCATTGTCTCTCCAGGATTCAAACACTTGAAGCCTAAACAACAAGCCGCACTTTACAGAGACGGTCTACTATCACCGTTTGTTGCAAACAAGTACGACACGCAACAACAGAAGTAACAAATATATCTAGCGCGAAAGCTAACAGTCGCAGTCGTCTACAATTCTATACGTCCGGGAGGGTAATTCATAGTGTATTAGTGCCAGATATTAGGCCGTGGGTGCAGGTGGATAGAACCCGCACCAAATATGGAGATGGGAACACCGTAGAACTGAATAAACCTGCAATATTTGTTCACTGTTTATTGATGAGCAGGAATTCAACTGTAGAGACATGCGATTGCACGCATATTAACTAGTTGCATAGCATCATTGCAGTGGTATAAAATAAGGCGCCGAAATGTTTCCGCTTGGCACTAAAACACAATGCATGCATAAATCTAAATCTACATGAATTTACGCACGAATATATAAATATATATTTATGTATGTATGTATACATATATATATATATATATATATATATTTCATAAAGATATATATATGTTTATCTATGAATATAATATATGCGTCTAAGTCTATATATTTATAATATATATGTATATATGTATGTA